CTCCCCGCGTCGGGTCAGGACCCTGGCACGAGGAGTGGGGGGCAATTGATGGAGGGTGATTTGGCACGACCCAGTAAGTAGAGGTCACGTGGACGCGATCTGCCCGAGGGATGACAACTCAGCGAAAAGAACCTAGTCAATAGTAGTTAGAGCTCGGGTACCTCGACATAAAACCGCCTCGGTGTAAAGGCATCTTGGCACCTAATCCAGTTCAGGACTCAAGACCTGGAGTGACACATCATCGACTCTAGAAGCTGCCCAATGAACTCCAAACCTCACGGGATCACACAGCATAACGGCACGCCTTATCCTCTCCCCGCCCAAATCGGGCAGAGACGATAGACTTCATTAACTGATATGGCACTCCCCGACTAAAGTGGAAATGGATCTCATCTACTCAGGCTGAAGATCCCAAGACCATTTCGTAAGACCCATGGAAGCTCAGCTATATAAGGGCAGCAACCCTACCAGGGCCCGAGTATGTGTTATTGTTTATATTTAAGCTCTTTAGCATCCAAAATTTTAGCTCGCAACAGCAACACATTACTGACTTAAGCATCAGAGTGACCTCCCCGGGTCTTCTGCCCCAGTCTCTCTGATCTCTATTTTGCATATTGATCCAGCTCACCACGCGAAGCACGTCCAGACAACCCTCCAGCTAGGAGCTTCCAGATCGCTCATTATCAGGTGGAATTGGAATCCCATTTTCACTCCTTGTGGAATAATGGCATTCTCCCGTTCAAGGGAATGAGAGTGTCAATCCACTTCTGAGGAACCTAAACGTTACCTAAGCTTGCCATTGTTGTCAACAAGGCCGAAGCCAAGTGATGAACTTATTCTATATTTATCCATTGGTGGTAAAGTCTTTAGCTCAGTACTAGTCCGAACAGTCGACAAGGTACAACGATCTGTCTATTATGTGGGAAGGGTCCTACATACAATCAAGACCTGATACCTTAACATCGAGAGGTTCACTTTTGCGCTTATCATTTCGGTTGGAAACTGTGACCATACTTCCAAACTCACACCGTCATTGTGCCCACCAACCAACCTCTCCGTCAAGTCCTACAGAAGCCTGAGGTGTCAAGACAACTAACGAAATGAGCGACTGCACAAAGTGAGTATGACATACGCTTTGAACTATGTCCCACATTTAAAGCCCAAGTCTTAGCAGACTTCATCTTAGAGTGTAAATTCAGCACACTAATGACCGACGACCTACCCTTGAATCAAGAACCATCTTACCCCGATCAAGTCTAGAGATGATGGTAGAAGAAGTTGTCGCTATGCAAATTGTCGAACTGAGCTGGATAGATCCGATCTTTGAATACCTAAAGCGATTGGAAATACACTCCATCGACTTACTCCCATCGCCCGAGATCCCCACCTTGAACTCGGGAGTGGGGGGCAATTGATGATGGACAAAATTGGCACACCAATCATTTGACGCCACATGTCACCCTGGCCATCTCGGAACTTGAAAGAACGTCTAAGTCGGGGTTCATCCGCCAACAAGACATGTTCGTGTTTTATCAAAAGACCCCGGGATGAATCAAGGACGGTCCAAGAAGACCAACCAAGACCCTAGTCCTCACCTCAGGACACTCATGCGGCCTAGGCACCATATCAACATTCCGACCTCATGAAGCCGACCTACTTTGTCGGTGTGTAAAATGCGTTCCAGATCATTTAAATGCCCCCGAGATCCTTGGAGGCATGTCGTGCACCTAAAGGTAACAGCAGGAGCCTCCCCGTCTCTTAGGGAAACGACGAGCGTCCCGTCGGATGAGCGCTCCCGAGGATGCTCAAGAATCCGATGATCGGAGTCTGTTACTTTGGGAATCTCGGAGGCGCTTTGATCACTCCTCGCCTCCTATAAAAGGCAAGCCTTTGCCTCTACAAGGTACGCTTTAGAAAAATAAAAATTAGTTATTTTACTCTCTCTGCTTCTACTTCCAGCAGTTCATGCAGTTCGGTACTAACTTGATCGTCAGAGTTTTTACGCCTGGACTCACAACTCGGACACTCAAACGCCATCTCCTTTGCAGGCAGGCTCAGGAACAGAGTTCACCTTGAAGCTCGCCTTCCCAGATCGAGCGACATTAGAAGCAAACTAGATCTACTAATGATGAATTCTCTTCCTGATTATTTGTGCTTTTGATCTCTGGGGACTGTGCTATTCCTTATCCTCGTCGTTAATAGTACGTAGGATCCATTCAACTAATATTCCACCTTATGACATCAACCAATTCCTTGGTTGGAATTTGGAAAGAAGGCCGTTATTGAATGGACACTGAGCCCAAGGACGAGGACCACCACCCAGATAACAAGGGCGGGCTAAGAATCTTCTTCTTCTGTTGCCAACCAACAGACTCCTGACCAACTTCGACTTCCTATTTTAAAAATTCGAAGCTGCAGTTTTGCATCAAACAAAGGACACCAAAAAAAAGTGTGGAAACGTTGATTTGGGTGGTAAGTTTTAAGCAAGGAAATATCGTCTGCTGCCAAACACAAACAAACAGGACCTAAAATAAATTAAAGTGCTGCTTGGCATTATGCCACATCACATTTTCAAGTTTCAACCTCAAAATGAATTAAATATGAACACGCCAGCCCTTTTGCTAAAATGAAAAGAATCACATTATTCAGATGATCTTCTTTTTTACTTTTATCACTGGTGGATCTACGTTTAATGAAGTAGGAACTCTTTAAAGCAAAAGACTGTACCAACACCCTGAAAGCATGGTCTCAATCCACTCGTTTTGCGATCATTTCCCATGCTTGTATGTTAAATTGATGGGGTGATATTCCTGATGTATGGCTGAATGCCCTGTTCCTAGGATATTCACACTGTTTTGGCTTTCAGGAGATCCCATCTCCATTTAATTGGAGATTTCCAAAGAAAGTATTGTCAAACAAAGAAATAAACTCCTTGCCATTTCCCATTGGGCTGAGCTCCTCACCTCACCTTGCATCTTTCTTTGGAAAGTAAAAAAAGATGACAAAGCATCATGTGAAAGAAAGATATTCATCTATTCATTAGCCATCAAATCATCAAGCAAAGGACTTGCCCATGCATTGATTATGAGAACATGTAGCACACCCCCAACCCCAATCATAAACCTATGTTATTTCCACAAGTTCGGATCTATTCCTCACAGAACGCTCCTCGTACCAATCTCATAGCATGGTCTCAACCACATATCGTTAATATTTTTCATAATTTGTGTGTCATTATTTGTGGGAAATGTTCCCAATACACTAGTGGGATGTATTTGTGAGGCCCGTGTGAGTTTGTCAGTTAACTAGTAAGGATTCAACTTGGGTGAGCTTAATCAGGTATCTGATTGATGGCACCCTTAACCCGCCCCAATCAAGAGAGAGAGAGATGTGGTATAACATAACTGAAGTAAAGTCAGCTAGCTGGTCAGTTTCTTATGAACCTATGATGTAGATCAACTAGGGTCATGGCAGATTTGATAGTTCTATTTCATTAAAAAGGTGTCCTATAGCGTGAATTGTTTGTCTTATTGCCCATTCCGAAAACAAGTAAAAATCATTTAGGGTATGTTTGGTTTGCAGGAATAGACCCAGAATTGGAATTGAAATCCGGCCATTTGATTGAATGTAATCAGAATCAGATTTCCCCTTTGAGAGGAATGGCATTCCCCCATTTGAGGGAATGGCCATTCCCTGCCCACCCCCTCAGAATCAGAGTCCCATTCCATGCGATTAAAACACGAAAAATGAAAATGATAAAAAAAAAAACTTCAAACCCCCAATCCAAGTCCAACCCTCTTTCTCATCTCTCGTCACTCCCTCCTTCAAACCCTTCAACAGTTTGGCAGCCGAACTCTAAAGATCCAACCTGAACTACTCCGGCCAAGTAATTAATCATGGATCTCTCTCTCCCTCTCTCTCTCTCTCTTTCCTTCTCTTCTTCTGGAAAATGAAAAAGTAAAAACCCTATTATAGGTGAGCGTTGCTTCCATTTCTGTCTTGAGTCAAGCTTGGAATTGAGCTGTCACGGCGACAACGGCAGGAGGGTACGAGGGAGCAGGTGGAAATTTTTGGAAGAAGCTGTTTCGGAGTGTCCATCGACTCCTTACGATAGGCCAACGATCGTTGTCTGGAACCCCATGGACATGGGGAGAAGAGGGTGGCTGTCAAAGCTTGTCGATCCAGCTTCGAGGATTATCACAATAAGCGTACAGTTATTTTTCTTGTCTGTATTCCGCATGGGTCTTCCTGCTCCACCGCCCATTTCTGGTTCAATTCGTCCCGCATTTCTTTGATCACTTGTTTGTCATGGTTTGTTTCTCATGGTTTGTTTCTGATGTTTTTGCACAATTCAGTGGTTTCATACTTATCATTGAGTGTTTAGAAGTGTAAATCGGGCCATGCCACCTGTGGCCCGGCCAGACATGACATTGTACGATGACACATGGATTGTGCTAAGCCCAACACGATGGTATGTGTCATGTTGGGCCTGAAGTTTTAGGTCCACTCGTGGCTTGGGCCAAGCATGGCATGGCACAGGCCAGCACAGGCTTAAACCATTGGCCATGTCAAGTCAATCCCCCAAGTTATCCCATGGGAGGGCGGCACGGCCCAAGATGGTCCACAGGCCGCCACAGCACGACTTACACTTTGTGTGGGCTGCCCCCAAGTAGTGTCGTGCCAGCTCGGCCCGACCCGTTTTACACCTATAGGAGTGTTTGGATTGGATCAATTGGATCCAATCTGATCCATTTAAATTTAAATGGATTGGTTTGTACAAGGATTGGACCAAACCCGGTTTAATTAATAGCCCTATCTATCTCTTTAAATGTTAATTGGATTGTATTGGACTTCGAATTTTTATAGATTTTTTATTTCTTTATATGTTTTTTATTAGGGGCAAAATTAAAAATCATGATTGATTCTGATTCCTAAAGGCAGTAACACTGGAGTACTGACCCATCTTGTAACAAACTTCTGAGCATGCAATGCTCCTGTCCTGAGAGTTATGAACTTTTCTATCATTTCATTTCACGTTTGTAATATACAAAATCATATGGAATAAGACACATGATAAATACTGCTTGATCCATTGCATTAAAGAACATTGAGATCATAGATGAAATACAACACCAAATAAAAAGGCAAAATTTCTACTGAAGAGAATTGTAGAATAAAATCAACACCACGGAAATGCCTATGATTACTGGAAAGGCAGTGACCAAGTATAATGCTCCATATCCCTGCACAAGGATTGATTCATCACTTACAAGGCCAATTGACATTAATCCTAAAACCAGGTACAACATCCATCCAACAATTTAAAGGGTAAAGTATCTTGGGGATTAATCAAGGTTCAAAATATCACAACATATCAATGTGTATCCAACATATATGTTCAGGAGGCCTCTGCTGGACAGGGAAGTTGAAGAATGTATCTTGCTCTTAGACAAGCTAGAGGGTGTAAAACCTGCATTTCAGCAGAGAGACAAGCTATGGTGGAAGGAGTGCAAGAATGGAAAATTCATAGTTAAGTCATGTTATATGGCTCTCAGCAGATCTATCTCAGTCTCAAGTCATATTAAGGGCATTTGGGGAAACCCAGTCCCTCCAAGAATTGAGGCTCTGGCCTGGCTGATAGCCATGGACAGTGTCTTGACAGCTGCTCATCTGAAATCCAGAGGTTTTAATATGGCTAGCAGATGCTGTCTGTGTGAGGAGCAGGAAGAGAATGCTACTCACTTATTCATCTCATGCAAGTTTTCGAACTTCTTATGGAAAGTGTTTACAGCTATGTTCGGGGTCTCAGGCTTTCACAAAACTTCAACAGCAGAAGTTTTCTCTACTTGGTCCAAGCTGAGTGGAAGTAAGAAGGTGAAAATGCTATGGAGGTGTATCCCATTTGCAATTTGATGGAACATTTGAAACGAGAGGAACAGGACTTTCGAAGACAAAGCTCGCAGCATGGACAAAATGGTTGCAGTTGTGGGTAGATCAGATAGATTGACTGCTAATTCTTCCAGACTTTAGTCAACTAGAAAAAGAAGACTTTGGTTTTAGGTTAGGAGAGGTCCTGGATTATCAGATATGTAATGTGGAGAATGTTCTCTAATCTGAAATTGGGTCTTTGTACTCAGGTGATGACTTGTCACCTCTTGTTGTAACTTCTTTTTCTTTTTAATAAAATTTTTATTTTACTTATCAGAAAAAAAAATTCAGGGTCATCAATGTGTGCAATATTTTAGAGTTGGGTGGATTTAATGGATATAAATTATAATGATTACCTTACCATACCTATCTGCAAACTATCAAACTTAAAATGGATAGTCAATTTTGAGTATTGAGTGTGTCAATAATTATAACTTTGGGGATTTGATCAGCCACTCAACTATTCATTCTTCACCTCAATGGCCAATTCACCATTCACAAACCTCAGGCTATGTAACAGTCTTGATGGCATGTTTTCAATCACAAAATGGCTATTGAGGTGCAAAAATGCTCACTACGCCAGATATTTTGAAGATACAAGAATATTTTATACATATTGATAGTGTAGTGTTACCAGGCGCCAGAAAGTAAGACCATTTGATGTACCACCAAGTAGAAAAACGAGGTGTAGTTCATACTGGGTTTGGCAGATTTTCTGTTGGGACGCAAATACCTTCCCCAAACCCAACACAGGGAGTGGAGCAGGCCACTACCCATCAGCAGTACTCAAGGAAGCAGAAAGGACAGGCGACAGAGCCTCAGGGACAGGCGACAGAGCCTCAGAATTAGTTACGCACAGAGAGGGTGATTCTGTCGACAGAAGATATTCCCTCCATGATATTTCCCAGAGTTTGTTA